GGAGGCGCCGAATGCCACGATGAACGAATTCGCCATGCTGCCATTGATCAACGTGGATCCACAATGGCCCTCGATAGGGGACGTTCACTTTCAGAACGTCTGGCTCAAGTACCCTGGAACGACAAACTGGACCCTTCGCAAGATCAATCTTCACATTCGCCCTGGCTGCAAGGTGGGTACATCTTCATATCACCCTCCCCTCTTGAGCTTTCTTTTCGGTCGCTTTTTTAAATCTCATGATGTGTTCTTCGCGGATTTTACTGCCAGTTTCGTGCTTTATAATCCTTGAAAGCTGTCTATGTTCGTCCTACAATCATCAGAAGTGCGCTCGCTTTCAGCTCGAGGGTTATGATTTATAATACAACACGCAAAAACAAGTTTTTTTATCAACAGTGTTTAATAGCGTAGAAAATACTTTTGGTATCAGGAAAAATTGGATTTTGCCCAATTCTGCCTATTTTCTCCTTCTATAAATAAACAGAACAACCTAAAATGTGTGTTAAAGTGCCCCCCTCCCAAAGTTCGATCCTCACATTTCATGAATTGGGCAAGCTTCTGTACGATGAAGTGGAAGCAAAATAGAAAAGGGTGACCGGAATAGTCATTCCAGTCTCGCTTGCCTTTGTCCGAGCCACAGGCTCTGTCAACCTGCGCCTACTGCATCTCTAGAGAGAGATACGCGTTGCTTTGAAAATATTATTCCAAAATTTTCAGCAAAAAACGTCCTTCAAAACCGGGAAATTAAAAGTGATCCAATGACTGCAATTTTCTACATTGTGGATAAATCGTCTTGGAAAACTCGCCAAATATAGGTCAAGTTGGACTGGTTTGAAAACGGCGATAGTACAGTGACCTCGTGCACTCATGACCTCATTGTAGTTCAAATAAACAAAGAGAGAAAAAATCGGTTTATAATGGACGAAGTTGGCCAACCGACGTATATATAATAAAAGTTGCATGTGAATGCAGGGAGGAAAAGAATGGCGGCTTAATTTGGAAAGCCCTCTGGATATTTGGATATAGCAAGCATGACATTATTTTTTTGGGTGAATTGTTGCGTTTTGTCGACTGGATAAGTATATACACTGGACGTGCCTATACTGTGTACGCAGGTAAGGTAGGTAGATGTTCGAGATGTCGGCCGTAACTTTTAGGAAATCGTACGCCTCTCGTAATTCGATTGCCTCTTATGTGGCTGACTGGGTCGATATCTGCGTTGACTTTGTGGCTGCAATGGAAATATAGGGGAACCAGAACTATTCCCTGGTAGCGTCCGCTGTTTCTATTTTTATCCTTATACACACGCTCCTTATATTTTTAAAGGTCTCCGAATGGTTTATCGGACAAAAGCATGTATGTTGCTTAATTTATTTATTAGTTGAATAAAGAAATGTTGCTTGCAGTATACACTTTACGCACAAAGTCGGCATCTGAACTGCCTCATGTGGGTTTATATAGCCTCCTGTATCTGAGCACCCATCCGGCTTAGCTGCGAACTGCTTTCCTATCCATTTGCAGTTGGGGATAATTGGTCGAACTGGCGCCGGAAAGAGCTCGCTTGTGTCCCTCCTCTTTCGATTGGTGGAAGTGCAGCGGGGGCGGATACTTATCGACCAGGTGAACACTGCTCAATTACATCTGGCTGATCTGCGCAGGAGAATTTCCATCATTCCGCAGGTTAGGTCGGCAGATCCCACTCTGTTCACATAACTTCTTTGTTGTATTTACATTTGATTAGCTTAAAAGGTGTTGCGTCTTTTCAGGATCCACTGTTATTCGCGGGAACCGTCCGCAGCAATCTTGATCCAGAAGACCATTTTGATGATGACGCCCTGTGGCATGCTTTGGAGACGGTAAACAAATTTACTTCACACATACTACGTATCATTTACAACCACTAGGTGTATCTGAAGTAGAAGTTTCGTCTTAGAGTGTTACCAACTCAAAAAAGGTCTATCTAGCGCCGCTCTCTTTTTAAGGAAGCCACTTTTGTATAGACCTGATCACATTCCGTAACAGGTTGATTTTGCTTTCAGGTGCAACTAAAGTCGGTTGTGGAGACCATGTCAAGCGGGCTACAGAGCCATCTAGCTGAAGGTGGGTCCAATATGAGCCTCGGCCAACGCCAACTCTTTTCCCTCGCACGAGCTATTCTCCGGGACAACAAAATTCTTGTGATCGATGAGGCCACGGCAAATGTGGATCTTGAGTAAGTATACCCTCATCGCACATGCCATCTATTATGCCGTTTATTTCCGTCATCTTTCGTAAGGGCTTTTGTGTATTCAAATTGATGTGTACAGTTCAAACTCATCGAAACGTGCGTTAAACAGGAACCTGCCTGATGTTTTATAAGTTGTTATCTAAACATATAGACGACAAGACGTAGACACCTGGCTTCAGGCCAAATTAGAATCGCTCTCTACTCCACCCTGCAACCAGGATAAATTGGCACACACACACAGAATTATTACTCTTCAGCCAATATATCTCTCTAGGCTGAACTTCGAATGGCCTAATTTCCATATAAATGACTGAAAACCTTTTCAATAAACGAACTATATTTAGCATGCAACTTATTTGAGAGTTCAGTCGCTTGTTAGTACCACACCGAGGTGCATTTCTAATGTGTGCTTCCCAGCAGGTTCATACTTTTACTTTTATCGGACCAGTAAATTTATATGGAAAAGGGATACAATTTGAAACATGCTCGTCTTTTCATACAAATGAATCGTCGGAATAGGGGGGGGGATCGGGGTCGATAAGCGAAGGTTGGTAACGCGGTGGTGAGGGTTTTGTGGAGTCGGTCCAGCAGGGAGAGGGAGGAGGCTACTGACATGGCCAACCGTCGCTCAACTACATACACTTTTCAGCGCTCTCTCTATCTCCATCACCGGCTTTGGTCGACTCCGACCTTATTCTCATGACCCAATTAGATGAGATTATATGACCGCATGTTTCACCTTTGACTCCGTTCCCATGAGAATATATCGAAAGTTTACGTATGCTCCTCAGCGGCCGTTCTGAATTCTCCAATGGGAATTGCTGCAAGTTGTGCTGTCTCTAATAGATCGTCAAATTGTACCGTGTATCAGGTGTTCTAGGTACGTACAAAGGCCAACAGTGAATGTGATGACCGATTTTTGGACTCAGATGTCATTATCACCTAACTCCACTAGAAAAATCTTGAAGTGTGAAGCCAGGTGATTGGGCTATAGGACATTTAAGTCCAGAACACTACCAATTATGACAGGGGCCCGCATAATGTGCTGAAGTTTTTAACTATTCACTGTCGCATGAATAAGGCATGTATAAATCTATCTTAGTTGTTGAGTAGAATACGGGCCATACCCGATAAAGAAGTGTCCATAGGGGGCTGAGGGGGGAGGACTTGATGAAACTGACGACAGCAACGTACTGATGGCTACTTGATATCCTATCAGAGATAAGGTGTCTGAAAGATTCTGGACTACGAACTTCGAGAGAGTGACCGACTAACAACCAAACTTATATCAAGTAAGTCTGCCCGCTGATGTGGACAGAGGACTGTCGAAGTTGAGAACCTAAACAGGGAAAATGAATAACTGCCAACGCTATATTTCGTTTAGAAGAGATCTTGCATGCAAGTAGCCGCCGGTACTAAGTTTGTCTCGGCAGTGTACCCCGTCAACTTGTCTGCTGTATCCTTCGCGTTCTTGGTTGAAACCTCAAAAAACTGATTGAGGTTTTTACCCGGGCGTTTGGCATTCCCTCTGCCTGTCTCAAAACCGGGGTTTTCCAATAGTTAGGTATAAAATTAGTAAACATCTGTACGTGAACAATCGGAGATCGAGACTTTTCGAATTGAAAGGTGTCCGTTCGAGCGCCGACTCTGACGCCCTGCGGTGTGGAGGATGCGGAGACAGTCACATACCCGTGAGGTAAGTTTTGATGGCAGTAGACTTGCGCTGAATTTACCACACACCCTCCTCCTTCCGTTGCCTGAAGTCTAGACGACCGGAGTGTACGCCGGACACAGGTGAACCCACGCCCAGACGTGCGAACAGGCCCCCTGCTCTGCGCAGGGGGGGCCAGGATTTCACAAAAGAGGAAAGGCTGGCGACGACTCGGATCCCACTGATTGAAAGGCTCATTAGGTTCAAATTGGGAGGAGGGATAAATTAGTGAGTTAGTACTGACCAGGACTTCGTCAGGGCAAATGTTCAAAGGCTTCAGTTGCTGTGATGTCGAAGCCCAAGGTTAAAATGCCAGTAATGCGGCCGTGTAATATCTTTGTCTTCCTTTAATGAGATAACAGGTGACTACCTCGAAGCCATCGTCTGACTATAACAAGGAATGATAGTGGAATAAAGAAGCGACGGAATGTATTTATGTATGATATTGCAATGGATAAATAGCAGAGACTTTTGCCGCAGCAGTAAATATCTCTCAAACTCTGGATTTCGGGAGTTGAGTGAGGCCGCTGCACTGACGGCGGTATCTAATGTTCTCGGTCTACTGTAGTCAAAACTTACCAACGTTTACGAAGACAAAGCAGGCTTTTACATTACCGGTAACCCATTGAATTTATACCGCTTGTCATGCGAGTACGTTCTTATCTCCTGCCAACTCGCATTTGTTGTGGGTAATATCTCTGGCTAAAGTGCATTTCGAATAGACCCCAAACGGTCACCGTCCTAGTCGTTAGGGCCAACGGCCGACTATATAACTCATAAGTTTACCTTATTATTTCATGCCTACTTAATTAACGTGGGTACACGAGTTATATATTAGGTTTTAGTTCTCGTTGTTAGCAAGACTAGATGATAGTTTTAAGGTAAGAATCGGATTAAAGTTTAGGGTTAACTAAAGGGTAGGATTGGGGTTATTGTTAGGGTTAAAATTGTGTGCCGCAAACCGGTTTATCTAAATCCAAACTGCTTAAACCAACAACGTCGGATTTCCTATTTCCCGTCCGCGTACGCCCCCTTAAATCGCATATTTTCTGTTGCGCGTCTATTTCATCATCTCAGTCTGGTAATCAAACTAGCGAGTTACAGCAATGCAAGTATTCACAGTGCCTTCAACAGACCCCGTTTACTTCCTTGCTCGCCTACCAGTACTGAAAACGCTGATGTTTTACGGTATCCCTTATGTCTTCTCTATTGTTGTCAACCAGCTTTCTTAATTGAAAACTTAAGTTCAGCCATTTTTAAGAACCGCCACCCCTTGTCTATTTACACCTGTAGAACCGACACTATTATTCAAGAAACAATCAGAACGCACTTTACCGATAAAACAATTCTCATGATTGCTCACCGCTTGCACACGATCATAGACTCTGACGAGGTTATCGTCATGGATGCCGGACGAGTGGTCGAGCAGGGCTCTCCGTATGGCCTCTTGGACCCTGTTGGGGCAGCTAGACTAAGCAAACAGCTGCGCGATTCGGGAGATGCGACCATCGTTACCACGGAAGGGCTGGACGTAGTAGCCTCCGCAGTTAGGATCACAAGCAACGGTCCCTTTGCAGCCATGGTTCAACACACCGGCAAGGACTCTGGTGCAGAATTGGTGGCTCAAGCCAGACAAGCCTTTATGCGTAAAATTGCTTCCTAGCGTGGAGATTCGTCCGCTATTTGAGCAGTTGGATGTACACCTACTCTGGTCTCATTCTGTACTATCCCATTCAATTCATTCCACTTTTAATATGATTTTATTTTTTAAATACAATTTCTACTGTCTGATTATTTTCCATGCTTCGCCTTTTGTCTAGCTGTGAACTACCAGTCTGAAATCTGAGCCTTCATGGTTAGGCTCTTAAATTGCAACTTTGCCCAATGTGGGAATTAAGTAGTAGAGGCTACTTTACTAACGACTGTGAGCATTTGACTCCCCTGCTAGAAGCGTATTACTGACCCGAAAAGTGGCTCAGGGCTAGTTACTGTAGGTCAACAACGTGTGACACTTATAGTAGGCACTAGACCCTAATAACATTTGACAACTATTTAGCGTCTAAAGAGCGACTAGTCCTAGTTGGTCCGCCGACTAAATGACGTCTAGTTTGACCAAAAAATACTCGTCTAATAGGCGACTATTGTTAGTCATATAATAGACTTCAATTTTTAGTCATCTAATAGGCAAATTTTTTTAGTCGGTCTTCGCAATCGGCGATAATGGTGGTTTACGCTTGGCACTGGACCCATTTACTTTGCGAACGACCCCTTTTACATGTTTAACCCCCATCGACTCGTAGTAAGTTGAAGTCTGAAGTCTTCTTTTAGTAGAGAACTTTATTAAAAAAACACAAAAACGTGAA